AAAAGAGGTTGAGAAGTTAGAGGGTTGATATGTTGTGGGGTTGTTAACCAGTGTTATAAAACAACATGTGTACTTCTGTTTCATGAGAAACTATTTGTTCTGTAAGCCTTCACCTGAAGTACAATAAAAAAAATAAAAAAAAAAAACCTATGGAGCACAGTTCTACTCTGACAAACATGGAGTCACCATGAGTTGGAATCTACTCAACAACAACTGGTTTATTCTAAAATATACTGAAAACTAAATAGTCATAGTTGGAGCTTTAGAGTATAGTATAAGACCATTAACCCATTTTTCTATAAAACAACCACACATGCTTGAATAACTATTTAGAGTCCTATATTAGTATTAAAACAAGCTGTGTGTTTGTTTTTCTGTCTTAAATGGACCTCAGCACAGAATTGGATTAATCTTAGTCTTCGATCCATGACACACTGTTGTCATTAGTCTATACACGGGTCCTATGTTATTTGTCTTATTTAAAAATAATATGATGACACTCATGAGCTAATAACAAGAATATTGACAATATCGCATATCTAGCTGTGTTTCTCTCTTATTTGGTCCCCCTGCCTCTTCACTTTAGGTAACCATTGTTTCTTAGTTTTGTAGTCCATTGCTTTTCTGTCAGTTGTTTTGTTTTAGCTGTTTTATGAACTTTATAAAAAGAGGATTATGGTGTATGCCATCTTCTGGACTTGTTATATTGTTAAATATTTTATTACCAAGAGTCATCTGTATGATCTTCCGTAGTTGTACATCATTCATTTTCATTGCTGAATAGCATTCCATTGTGTGACTACCATAATTTGTCCATTTTTGTTTCAGTGGACATTTGGACTGTTACTAGTTTTTTGTTATTACAAAACAAGTGCTGCTATGAGTGTTTTGAACAAGTTTCTCATATATTTAGGAATGAAATTGCTGGGTTGTTGGATATGTGAATGTCCAACTTTAAAAGATAACTTCAAACTGTTTTCCAGTGGTTGGCCCAATTAACACTATCCCTAATAATCTAAAAGACACCCTGTTTCTCCACATTCTCTCCAACAATTGGTATTTTCAGACTTCTTAATCTTTGCCATTCAGTTGGATATCAAGTGGTATCATTTTGGTCTTGATTTGCATTTCACTGATTACTTATGAAGTTAAGCATTTCTTCATACGTTTATTGATTGTATGTGTGATGTCTTCTGTGAAATGCTATTCATGTCTTTTTGCCTATTTTTCTATTGTATTATTTATTCTTTATTTTTACTTGATCTCTCAAGTTCTTTATATATTTTGAAAATAATTATTGGTTGTAAGTATCTCCTTTAAAGACAAAAGTCAATTAATTTTATGACTGTTATGACTTTTAAATATAAAATAATTACTTGCACAAGTTACTGAGCAATGGGAATAGTTTAATCTTTTATTGTTGTCATTTGTAATAGTCTCCAAAAATATTAGAGCTGGGCCTAACTGATCCATTCCAAGGTTTTTTAAATGCTGAATAGTCTGGCTACGAACTGGAAGTAGGAACTGAAAAAGTTCCTTATATTTATCCCAAGAGTCAGGAGGATAAAACAAAAAAAGGAAACGATGAGATAAGTCGGAAAGCCAGCCAACCTACTATTTCCTACAACAGCCATTCAACCAGTATTTATCAGGCTTTTCCTTTTTAACTTTTTGGAGCTACTGAATTTACCTTATGCAGCCAGGTAGTGAGAACTTTCCTCTATACCCAGAAATTAGTGGTCTGAAAAATGATTTGGCAGCAAAGTAATAGTGACATGAGACCACTGAATACTGTTTCAGAGACAGAGGTGCAAACAGTTAATGTGCTTGGCTACTAACAGAAAGGTTGGAGTCCGAGTCCACCCAGAGGTACCTTAAAAGAAAGGCTTGGCGATCTACTTTTGAACAGTCAGCCATTGAAAAAACCCAATGGAGCACAGTTCTACTGTGACACTAATGGGGTTGCCATGAGTCAGAATCGACTCAGTGGCAACTCGTTTTATTACAAAGAATGAGTTTCTATGTGATGCAGATTCTAAAGATCTGTTAAAATTATTCTGTCCATTAGGGAATCAAAAATTGACTTTTTGAGAGATGCGATAATCTATGAAGATTTGAAATTCTCAAGATACATAACCTTTACATTTATGTTGGGTTATGTTTTCCTATTCATTTCTTCTCCGAATTAACTTTATGAAAATCCAATACAATTGGTAAATACTAAAGTTACTGACTACTTTTGGCAGTTGGTTTGATGGGAGTTATAATTTGAGATTCAAAGTTGAGAATGAAGAGGGATGTGATTTAAACTGCAATATGTAGTGAACACAAAATTATTATATATAGTAATTGCTTTTATATCCTTTTCCTAGCCTTTCAGTCTTGAGTTATAGCTGCTCATTTCTACCTCCTTCTAAATCTTACATTGGAACCATTTAACTTACATCCCCTAGCACCAAGCTGATGTGGACTTGATCTCCTCATTACTACTTCATTGTCCCATTTCAGTTTGTACCACTTATGGTCAAAGTTAGGATAGTATCTTTGTCTGCTGAGACAACTACTTCTGATTTCTAAGTCCATAATCTCTTTTTCTCTTTGCTGTTGACAAATTGGCCACAATTCATGTATTCCTTATAGAAAGAGCACGTTAGAACATAAGCTTTCGCTCAGGGATTATGAGGGAGCTGTTTTAAGATAAAAGCTTGGGCCCTGGCAGAATCTGAGCCTAGAATCTATTGCTTCTATCCCACCAAGTCAACCAAAGCAGCTTTTTTTTTTTTTTAAAGCTATTGGGTAAAAAGTTAAATGAGATATTATAAAATAGTTTTTGTTTCTTTGTTCTTTTGGGGAATTTTTGCTTTTGCTTTTTAGGCCTTAAATATGGATAGTGCTCAACACTTTTAGTGTGAAGAAATTATTGCTCATCTTTAATACTTTTAAATGTTTTAGTTTCTAATGTAATGCTCAAAATGCTTTCAGCTGTCCTCCAACTATCCTTTTCGTCAATATTCGTCAATAGGCATTTGGCACAAACCAAGAGGATTACGCAAGTTACATTATGAATGGTATCATCAAATGGGGTGATCCAGTTACTCGGGTTCTGGAAGATGGGGAGCTGCTGGTTCAACAGACTAAAAACAGTGACCGCACACCATTGGTTAGCGTCCTTCTGGAAGGTGAGAAAGGATGATGAGATGGCATTAAAAGTGAAACACAAAAAAATTGCTTTGTTTTAAAGCCATTTAGCACATTCCAGAAAAGTGAATTATTTTCAGTTCTGAACCTTGTTCATGATCTGAAAATAGTAATCCAGCCTATTGTACCCATATTGTGCACAAATTAATATTTTCTTGGGGTAAAATGTCACTGATGACTGATAGCAATGAGTTTTTTTTATAGGATTGTATCTAAATATCTGTATGGCATCACATAGCACCCAATTCAATTAAATAAGCATTTATTGTATAATTGCTGTGTTTTAGGCATTGAACTAAGTACTGGGGATACAAAGACATTCACAGAGTTCAGTCTGTTCATGAAAACAGACATGTAAGCAAATTTCTAACAACGTTGTCTATGTGTAGATGTATGTGTGAATGCAAGTTGTTTTGCCTGGGGGTGGCCAAGGAAAGCTAGTTTTATTTAGACCTTAAAGGATCGGTTAGGATTTTACTAAGTAGATTAAAAGGTAAGGGCATTCCATTCACAAATAATTTATTTATAGTTATGATTAATACAACAGCAGAGAAGTTCAGTGAGCTCATGTGACAGGGGAACCTAATCCCTTCCAGAGGTCTGGGGTGGGGGGCTCCCTAAGAGAAACACAGTAAGCCAAGACCTACTGGATGAAGATAAGCTGGCCAGCAAAGAAATTAGGGAAGATGTTCTAGGCAGAGGGACCAGCATGTGAAAAAGCCCTGGGCATGAAGGAGCTTGACATCAAGAGGGACATCGGCTGGACAGGAGACTGAAGAAGTAGACAGATGCCAGTTCATGCAAAGCCTTTATCTTAGGGCAGTGGAAAGCCATTTGTAGGGTTTTAAGCAGTTCAGTGACACCATCTGATTTGTATTTTCAAAACATCATCACAGCTACTTTGTGATAGAGAATGAATTGGAGGGAAAAGAGATACAGGAGAGATCTGTTAACCGTTTATATTAGACGTATGTTAAGCATTTGTATTAGCCTTAGTGAGAGCTGATTGTGGCTTGAGGTAATGTGGTGATAGTGGAGATGGAGATAAATAGACCAATTTGAGAACTATGTAGAAAGCAGAATCAAGAAGACATAATTATTATTAATTATTAATCATAATTAAGCTAACATTCTTTGAGCCCTGATATGCTGGTCACTCTACTAACACTTTTATGTATATCTCATTTAAACCTCATTTCAGTCCTATGAGGGTAGCTTTTTAAATCACAATTGCTTTTAATAAGGCAGTTGTTCCCTACTCACAATATCATGTCCTGCGAAGATAATATGTATTTTTTGTTACACAAATGATTTGATAGAATAACATAAGTACTGATATACATTTGGATGCATTCCTTTTTTTTTAAGAAGCACAAACCCTCGCATTTTACATGTTTAACCAGAAGTTTGAAAGATTAAGGCTTTGTGAGAAAGTAGGAAGGAATGTATTTCATCATACTTTTGAGAAATGCTAATCAGTTCATTAAGTTTAGTTGCTAATAAATAAGAGAAAACATGTCTGCCATGAAATTGTCAGGAAATGTTAATGAGCAACTAGTCGAGACCTCAGAACATTGTGGAGAAAGTTTAAACTTGTCTTAGCTCCCTTTGCTTAGGTTGGCTATTTTTCCCTAACTTGCTCTTATCTTTATGCAGGCCCTCCTCATAGTGGGAAGACTGCCTTAGCTGCAAAGATTGCAGAGGAATCCAACTTCCCCTTCATCAAGATCTGTTCCCCTGATAAGATGATTGGCTTTTCTGAGACAGCCAAGTGTCAGGCCATGAAGAAGGTATCAAGATTTTTACTTTCATTTTAATTTCCTGACTCTCAGATGTGTGTGTGTGTGCACTGTTTTCTTATGTGTATATATAAAAGCCATAGCAACTACATTCTTCCCAAATGGAACAAATTGTCAGCAGAATTTGAGGGGAGAACAGTGACTGTTTTAGATAACTTTGTAATGCATTTTTATTAAAGTACCTTTATCTTTGCTTCATTTAGCACATATTAATATTAATTTTTATTGCTTAGGTTTGTATTGATGTGATTGAAAGAAGGATCATAGTGAAAAGTGTTTGGGTAGAGTGGAGCACATTCATTTAGGATTTCTTTTTAAGTTCTTTCATTAGTGTACAAAGCCAAACTGTCCAGGATTACTTAACTGTATAGTTTGGGAGAGAACAGAGATATATCATTGGGAAACTGTTTTCAACAAACCCTACAAAAGGATTGTTGTATCTTAGGTAATAATCAGAGCCAGCTTGGCAACTTAATGCAGTCCTCATCCTTCTTCCTTTCTGCAAGTGTCATTATTCACCTTCTTAATATAGACACTTTGAACCATAAATGAAAGTTAGAACATAGAATCCTAGAGCTGGAAAGACTCTAAGATCATCTGGTCCGTCTCTCTTACATTCAGGCAAATGCCTCTAAGCCATCTAGGATAGTAGGTAGCTGCTCCTTAAAAACAACACTACAACAAACAATAACAACGAAAAACAGCAATAACAATAATAATAACAAACAATAATGACAAAAATTGATGATGAAGAATCTTAATGGCTGTTTAGGCAATGTTTCCATTGAGAGTCTACTTTGTATACTCCCAGCACTGAAGAAATTATATTTTATATCCAGCTGAAATATTTCTTGTACTTGAACTCTTTTCTTATGCTTGATCTATTATAGATATGAACTAAGGCAAAGAGATATGGGAAAAGAACCTTGAAAATTGAAGTGCTACCTAGTATAAGACAGCTCAGGGTATTCTTTTACCATTGCTACTAGGCCCTCACTTTATAAAGATGGAGGATAGAATTACTTTAGTTTTTCTTTAGGGAAGAGACTGAAGAGGAAAAATATATTTAAATATATTTTAAAATATGTTTAAAAAGAAACAGACTCCACAAAAAAAAAAAAAGCAAGCTTGAGAAGTTAGTCTCTTGTTTGTGCAGGTGGCAGAAAATTGTTTGTGTAGGGTGCTTGAAATGGATGGAGGGAGGGGAGCTTGTTGTAGGATACAAGCCGTACACACTGAAACATCAAGATCTTCTATGTAAAGATCTTTGGAATTGAGTGTGAAAGAGAAGGAAATGTTACCAGACACAAAATGAACTTAGAATAAATATCATAGCCAGTTTATTCTGTTTTTGAGGTGAAACCAGTAGTATCTATCTTTCCCAGGAAAATCTGGGCAGAATAACTTCTCTAGGGTAGGTAAGGGTTGTTTTTCTGTTTGTTTTTTCCCTGTAAAGGAAACTCTTAAGCCACTATCAATCTCTTCCTCAGGAGAAAATTTAAATAATAGCCCTTGGCATCTGTCTTAGTCATCTAGTGCTGCTCTAACAGAAATACCACAAGTAGATGGCTTTAACAAAGAGAAGTTTATTCTCTCACAATCTAGTATGCTACAAGGCCAAATTCAAGGCATTAGCTCCAGGGGAAGGCTTTCTCTCTCTGTTGGCTCTGGAGAAAGGTCCTTGTGATGCATCAATCTTCCCTTGGTCTGGGAGCATCTCGGCGCAGGAACCTCAGGTCCAAAGGATGTGCTCTGCTCCCAGCACTGCTTTCTTGGTGGTATGAGGTTCCCATGTGTCTCTGCTCGATTCTCTCTTTTATATCTCAAAAGAGATTGGATTAAGACACTATCTAATCTTGTAAACCTCATCAATATAACCTCATCATAGTGATAGAGTTTACAACACATGAGAAAATCACATCAGATTTATAGAATGGTATATAATCATACAGTACTGGGAATCATGACCCAGCCAAGTTGACACATATTTTTTGGGGACACAATTCAATCCATGACAGCATCTATGGCCATTAAATTTCTCATTTAATTGAATAGCTAATTCTATTTGCATTTCCCTACACCATCCATTCCTTATTCTTGTTTGAAAGTAGTCTTCTGTGCAGATGGTAAATTACTCCATAGCTTTTCACCAGCTGCCAGGTTTACCTCAGATGTAGGTACTCTGAGCTGTGGGTGGATGGTCCTGGTTTTCCTATAAAGTTTTTAAAAAGTTCTTTAGGCTTCTGCAGATCAAAGGTGCTATGTAAGTGTGAGATATTATCATTTTTATTATTTTAATCTCTTGCAAATTGACTTGAGGGGGAAGGTAATATGTGCTGATTTTAGAAGCTTAAATGGTTAAATTAATGGCTTAATAACTTATGATTTAATCTTTAAATTGTTGAAGCCTTTCAAGGTAGAGTTTTAGATGAGTAGAAGGCTAAGGAATATAAAAACTAAGTGTCTATACAAGCTTATTCAAAATTGTTTCAATTCATGATTCACTGTCTGGATTATCCATGTATTCTTAAAGTTACAAAAATTATTTCTGCTTCAGCAGTATCATAAATTCGTATTAGACTTTCTGATTTTCCTTGAGGGGAAAAATATTATTCCCTGTAACTAAGGTTCAGAAGAGAGAGAAGAATGAAGTGTAGATGTCTTAGGAATATATTAGAAATATTGCAAAATCTTTCCCTGCAAATAGTTTTCACATTGCTACCTAATGATAGGCTGACAAAAGCCTGAGGACTCAAACCAGTCTAAAGATGCTTCCAGGTTGTTTTTGAAAATGAAATATAAATGCCATTCTTTAGTATTTCTAGTCTACCGCCCACCACTGTTCACATTCCTTCATTTTTAGTGTGAGGATGGGAAGATGTTTTAATTTTTTTTTTCAGTAAGTAGATAATGTATAATGTTTTATCATTCTGGAGAGGATATTTCTTTCCTTATAAATGCCCATCCCCCCAATAAAAATAATATCGGTTTTCCTAATTACAAAAATAATGTAGAAAACACAGAAAAGAGCATAGAAGAAAGTAAAAATGAACTCATATTTGTATTTGCCTTTCAATTTTTTTCTTTACTCAAACACATAAGTATTATGTATTAGGGGTCACACTGGACTTACTATTAAAAACCTGCTTTTTTCCGCTTAAAATATCATGAACTTTTTTCAGTGTCACTAACATTTATCTTCACTATTATTTTAAATTAATAGCTTCGTAATATCCATTTAGATGATCTCCTTTTTTTGGATATTTAGGTCATTTCCAGTTTGGTTTTTTTCTTTACAATTATGAATAATATTCTGTAAAACTACCAAGCTAGGGAAATTATTGTCTCCCATTTTCTTATTGGACTTTTCTTCGAGTAGCATCATACTGTATTAACCGGAAACTTGGGCTTAGGATTCAAATAGATCTGTACTTGAATCTCCCCTCTGCCACACTTACCAGCTCTGTGACTTTGGACTTAATCTGCAATCCCCTGTTTTCTCATCTGTAAAATGAGGATAATATTAATAGCTGCTTCATAGGGCTATTATGAGAATTAAATGAGATGATAATTTATATAAAGTATCACAGTGCCTAGGACATAAAATATGTACTCAATAAATTGCAGTGATTAATTTTACCTAATTACCATTATTATTGTACATACATTTCTGGGTTTTCCTTAGGATAAATTCTCAGAATTGGGATTGCTAGGTGAAAAATATGAGTATTTTCAAGAGTTTTGATACTTATTTCTATCAAAACTCTTCTGTAAAAATACCAATGACTTATAAAGCTGTACCCACCTCTTCAGAAAGTTGTACCAATTTGCATTTGCAGTTTCCTTGGATATTCTCACCCATACCTGATGTTATTAAAATATTTTTTGCCAATTTAATAGGCAAAGATTGACAGTTAATTCTTCAGCTATGTTTTAATGACGAAATGCTCAATTTAAAAGATTTTTTAAAATGCAGCGGCAGTAGTTCATGAAGCTCAGAAATATTGTAACACATTAATTTGTATTAAAGAGGGCTGATCTGAATTAGTTGCTTCATTGGATATTTTTCTTTACCACTTTATTACTTAAATCAACAGGTAAGAATTTTTGTTAGTAGGGAGGGCCATTAGGCTTGCTTTCATAGTATGTAAGATTTAATTGTAATTAAGATATTGCTTCTTGTTAACAAATGGATAATGCAAATATATGACTTTTATTTTCAATTATTTAAAATTTACCTTGTACTTCTCTTAATGTGCTCAATAAATCCTTCTGTATAGATAAATACAGGCAATCTTTCCATAGATAAATTCCTCAACACTGCCAAAGTCTGTCTGAGGTATTATCCTAACATTTGAGGGGGATGAGCTGTATGTTCCATGAAGGTATTTGAAGCGATCATAGACCTTCCCCTTCCCATTTTGTTTGCTTCCCCAACTTTGTTTTATTTTTTAAATTTTAATTCCTTTATTCACTTTTGCATCTATACTTTTTAAAATCTATTTTACTAGTGCTGGCAGTGGCATTAAGTGGACAGAAGAACAAAGGAGTAGAATTTGATTGTAACTACCTAATCTTGATGCTTTCTGAGTACACAATCAGTAGAGAGATAAAATAGAAGAATCTGTTATGGATACATTTTTTAGCAAAATTAGGTTAAAACATCAATGATTTATAAAACTGTACCCATTAATACCATGATACAGTCTTGTTTTTAAAGAACCACAAATTAATGGAAGAAATTTTCCTTTCCACTAGCTTGCAAGAAAGAAATAATCTTCTTTGAATGTCCTCCTGTAAATCCCACTGCAAATTGTAGTCTGCACAGAACAGAATCATGGTGCCTAATCCTCCTCTTTTCATGGTTTAGTCTATACAAAGAGCAGAGCTGGAAATTGGATCTATTGACATCGGTTACTAAGCAACAGAATTTGGATGTTTTTGGTTAACATCCTAATATATCATGTAGCTGGTTTGTTGAAGTTTGTGCA